TCCAAAGCATACGTTGGATACCTGGCCTCATGAGGCTTCAACTGCCTGGACGTATAGGCTATGACTCTACCCCGTTGCATGAGTACCGCCCCTAAACATGTGATTGATGCATCAAAAAATACCACAAAATCATCAACACCCCCAGAAAGAGTCAATACTGGGGCCTCACAGAGCTTCCTCCTCGGAGTCTCAAATATAGCCTACTGCTCAGGCCCCCAATGGAAATCCAAACCCTTATTTTTCGGGTCAAAGGAACTACACTCTTGGAGAAATGCTAAATGAAAATCCAATAATAACAAGCTAATCACAAAAAACTCCTAATCTCAGATGGGGACTTCAGGACCTCCAATTGCATCACTGCCTCAATCTTGGCCAGATTGACCAGAATCTTGTCTTGATTGACGAGGTGTCCCAGAAACTTGCCTCTCGTAACCAGAAATCACACTTTGAGAACATGTCATAAAACCTCTCCTGTCTTAGTACTCTAAATATCTCTCTAAGGTGCTCCTCATGCTGCTCCCTGGTCTTGGAGTAGACCAAAATATCATCAATGAAAACAATAACTGACCAATCGAGCATCGACCTGCATTCCCGGTTTATCAGATCCATGAATATTGTAGGTGCATTGATGGTCCCAAAAGGCATCACCACAAACTCGTAATGGCCATAACGAGTTTGAAATGTTGTCTTCTCCACTTCTCCTCCGGGAATCTCATCTGATGGTAACCCAACCTCAGTTCAATCTTGGAGAACCAAGATGCACCATGTAATTGATCAAAGAGTTCGTCAATCCTAGGGAGTGGGTAATGGTTCTTCACCGTTAATTTGTTCAACTCCTGATAATCTATACACATACGATGCAACCCATCCTTCTTATTTAAACAAAAAAAAAGAATAGTGCTCCCCAGGGTGAATTGCTCAGTCAGATAAACCGTTTGCCTAACAGCTCATGAAGGTGAGAGGACAACTCATGTATATCTATAAGTGCAAGGCAATACGACGCCTTGGCAATCTGTGTTGCACCAGGGATTAGATCGATCCTATATTCCACCTGCCTCATAAGAGTCACACCGGGTAAATCCTCCGGAAATACATCTAGAAACTCCCTGAGTACTGGCACATCTGAAACCAAAATTGTCCCCTCCTCTTGGGTATCAACCACATAAGCGAGATAACTCAAACACACATGCTGAAGATACTGTCGAGCCCTGACATTGGAACAAAATGTCGAACCAACCCTCATACCCTCACCATAAATAGTAAGTTCTCCCCCCACTTGGGGTTCAAACTATCACCAACTTTCTCTCGCAGTCAATCATGACGTCAAATCTGCTCAACCAGTCCATCCCCACAATCACGCACACATCCCCCATAAGTATGGAAATAAAATCAATTGGATAAGACACCGCGAATATCTCCAAAGTATAATTCCAAAAAACACTCAAAGTTGTAACCCCGTGTTCGTTAGCGATGGAGACTCACAACGGACACTCCAGCTCCCCAATAGACATGACAAAAGCTCTACTGAAGGACTGGGATACAAAAGATCGACTCACACCTGAGTAAAATAGCACAAGAGAAGGAAAATAATTTACTAAGAAGGTACCTATCAAAGAAACAAGCATAAGCATACATGAAATAACAGAACATAAAATAAATGCATGTATACCAGTAACAAAGTCAAGCGCTGCCATGGCCTCCTCTGCTATGAGATGACAAGCGTGACCCTTGGCCTTCGGGGCATCATCTCTCCCTTGACGTCCATTTGTAATCCTCAAAGTAGCCGGTGCTCGAGCCTGCATTGGTCTTGCAACGAGCAAATGACAATTGGCCTTCATATGGCCAACCTGATCACAATGGTAGCAAATCATGGTGCTTGGAAATGGGGCATGATGATGACAATCCCTAGCAATATGGCCCTCCCTGCCACATTTGTGGTACCCAGTCACTGATTGACAAGTCCCCTCATGCGTCTTCCCATACTTCCACAAGTACGACCCCTATGACCTCGAGACCGTGAATCAGTGGGCTTAAACCGCTTTTCTACCGGTTGATACTAACTTGGATCCAACCTCCACTCTACCCTATGGATCTGAATCTTAATCTTTGTCCTCCTAGCAAAAGACTATAACTCAGAAAGGGAACTATACCTCTAGGTTGACACAAACTCACGAATCTCTGCATTGAGCATGCTCAAGTAACATGACATCTGAACCTGCTCTGAAGAGGCATACTCAGGGCATAATATGGCTCTCTTGTTAAACATCTTGGTGATCTACATCCTCCTTTTGAGGATCTAAAAGCTCTATCTTCTTCAATGTGACTTCAAGAATGAACACCTTCTTCAAAAGCACCAAAATAATCCTCTAATGGCCATCCAAGCTCCAAAATCACTTAAATGAGGGCTAAGGTTCAATTTCTAGGGTTTAGTGGGGTGGAGGCCGAAGATATTAGGGTTAGGTTATGAGATAATGAGCTTAAATAGGGTCCAAGACCCTAAAATAGGGTTCTGATCTGACTGGTGTACGCCCAAGTACTTCGAAGAACATTCGTGACCATCCTAGTCAGTATGCCCATTGTACTCCAAGGTACGCCCCGCGTACTGCCTTCTTCACTAGTACACCCTGCATACTCTTTGTGTACGCCTTGTGTACTCGGCTAAGCCTAAAAACCACGAAACTTCTAAAGGCCATAACTTCTTCGTTCTAAGCCCGATTCCAGCGATCCTTGTATCAACAAAAAGGTAACGAGAAGCCCTACACTTTTATTAGCTCATACCTTTCCTAAGACCTTTCGAACAAAAATTCATTTTCCACAAAAGCCCGAACTGCCACTTTACCGAAATACCCATAGGCTCTATAACACGAACCGAACACCCATATCACTTCTAATACATCACTCGCACCTAAATAGGCCTAGATCTTACCTTCTCAAGGCCATAATCCTTATGATGACCAACCTTTGGGCCACAGCCTCAGACTAGGAGTCAATTCAGAATAGGGCATTACATAGAGCTTTAGATCAAATATCTTTTTACGAACGACTCAAATTATACGGTACACTACACTTACTATCAGTGAAACCCTAATAGGACCAAGGCAACAAATGTTAATAACATCGGTTTGTTATGATTATACACATAAACACTATGTTTGACAAATATTTCCTTTTTATATCCATACAACCATAATATATACAAAATTGATATTTTGTATTAGCCCAACATGCTTATTGAATTTTAGTAAGTGAACTTGTTAAAAACTCATTCCCATGGAACAACCATTTTACATTTCTAGTAACATGTTTAAGCAGCTTCCGACATGTATTACAACGTATTAACAATAAAAATTAACATGTTATTCTTAACTATCACCAAATCCTTTCTAATTTCTTTTTATTTCCTTTTGGACAAACTTTTCCTCAATCTAAAAAATTCTATTGTCACTTCCTTACAACTCCCATCCAGACTACATACGCTTTCATAAAACCCACCTCCTTCCACGGTGAAAACATTATCTCTTCAACCTCATCCTGTACATGATATAAAGATAAATGACTTTCTATTTCACAATTTGTTTTCATTTACAAACCCTCAAACAAAATACCATCTCATTTCATTATTTCATATTATGTAATTTTGCTAGCCAAAGCCTTGGTTAATTTTTTCAAATTCCTTTCCAACTTATTGACCATTAAGATTCACACAAACACATGCATAATAATCTTGTCTATCCATTTCATAAAGGTACGGGGCCTCCGATCAAGTGTATCCAACTTATTGACCATTAAGATTCACACTCTTTATTATATTTTCCATTTCATCCTTGTTAGTAACATGTTTTAACTCTTTACACAAAAGAGGTACGGGGCCTCCGATCAAGTGTTTTTTGTAGTAAGATAACATATTTGAATCTAACTTAATTTACAGATTCGATATACTCTTATTCTCTCCATGTAGTTACCTCATTCCACATATTTAACTCGGTCTTATTCTATCTATGTTGAAAAACTATTATAAGCAGCTTATGGTTGTTGCTACTTTTGATGAGTAAAAGGTGGAGACTAGAGAACATGATGCCATAATTTTCATCAAAATTGATTATCATAGCCTTGAGGTTCTCCAAGGACATCCAATATAATATGAATCATGTAATTGTAGTGATTATATTAATGATTTTAGTGTTATCACATATTTTAGGTAATTAAGATTTACATGAGATCGAAGGGGATTTAAGCCAAATATAATGCAAGTTAGGATTTATGGTGTGTACAATAAACAATTTATTTACCACTCACTAAAACTATCGATATTGTGAGGTTGGGGGGGGGGGGGTAGGAGAGAGCTCGCCTTTGGCGATGATAATCAGCAACCCCCCTTTTAGAATTGTATAACATACTCTTGGTCATTCTTTGATTGAAACCCCTAATGTTTGAGCTTGAGGCCTTCCATATGGGGATGCTTTATCCAAAAAGCCACCAAGGTCTCCTCAATCATAATATCTAATTTTATCCAGAACACAACGAATAATGAAGTTCCCTTACAATAATCCCACTTGTCAGTTGGTGACTTGGAGCGTGGGGCAATGGACATAAATTCTCAACCATATTAGCAAATGGGTAAAAGTAGGGAAATTTTATATGTTATTAGCACATCATCTAAAGCCTCTAATGATATCATTTTTATCTGTTACCAAGACATTGTTATTCACTTATTCTCTCGCCTATTGCCAGTCATTCCTATAACCACACAACCCGAAAATTCTCATATGCTCAATAACCAAATTGAAAATAATAAAGAGCACTTTGATTAACTTAAAAATCCACATGATTTGCCAATTTTGGAGTTTGGATATTTAAAACACATTATCTTGAGATTTGAAGGACAAACAAGTATTTCTCATTTGAAGTACAATAGCATTTTGGGTCAAAATTGCCAAATCTAGTAATAGTGAGGATGCAAAGTGAAATTCTACTTAAACACACCGCCTTTGCCGAGAACGACCCGACTCACATGTGTAAGGAAAACGCCGGTTCATAAGGAACTCAAGCGAGAACCTCCATTAACGTTGGGGAGAGCCAAAGAGGCAGTGGCACCACCAATATTCATATCAATTGAGCTTCGAAGAAATGGCCGCAATCTTAGCTCGCAAGTCTATCTCTGCTTTTCGCTATCGCCAGCTCGTAAGACCCGTCTTCTTCTCTCACGCACGCACACACTAAATTTCTGTTAAGATCCTGCGGATTGAATTTGTTACTTGTTAGGGTTTTGGATTTGTTATAAATGCCCGATCGAAGTTCGTTTGGGATTTTGTGGTCGTTTTGTATAGGTGAGTTCATATTTTTTAGGGTTTTGATTTGTCGGATTGTTTATAAGATTCAGATGAAATTAGTTGAAGCAGAACGCCAAATTTCGGAAACGTTCCACATTGTCTCATTGAGTTCGTCATTTTGAATCATTTCTATCTGCAGCATAATACCTGTTCTTTTTCTTCCCCGAATTGCGTGTAATTCTACTGTCCTTACTGTTTAAGGTAGCACCTATGCTTTATTTACCTAAAGAATGTGCCATTTTATACAAAGGGAAGAAGCATTAGTTAATTTGTAATTCATCATGCCAACACAAGGTGTGAATTCGAATGACCACTTGAAGAATAGAGAAAACTTTGGCTCTAAAGCTATGTCCAATCACCAATGTCCTCATTTATTTCATGAAGTAAATTCTTTTAGATCAGTTTCATGATGTTCAATATCTTGATTTTATGCCAGACTGTAGCAGGACAAGTATTACAGGGCCCTAACACCAGTGAGACAGTTTCCAGTGCACGCTCGTTTGCAACTAAACACTCCTTTTCCACTGATAAAGGTATGTGATATGGGACTAAGTTTCTATCATACAAGATCATGTTTACATCGAGTATATTGATATGTATAAACATGTATTTGTTTTTATCAAAATAAAAGGAATCATGCTACTTCTTATTGCTTTTAGATGATGAAGAAAGAGAGAAGCTTGCAAGGGAGATCTCAAAAGACTGGAGTTCTGGTACTCCCAACAATTTTTTTTGTCAATTCTTTAAAGTTTTATCTTTTATCTTTTCTTCCATTTTTTCATTCAACTTATGGTTCTTATGTGAATTATTTTCAGTTTTTGAACGGAGCATTAATACGTTATTTCTAACTGAACTGGTTCGAGGTTTGTCACTAACACTCAAATACTTCTTTGAGCCAAAAGTTACTGTAAGTGTTTGACATTGATTCCTTATTTCCTTTAGTTTCATCTATTTGTTGTTTTCCAAAAGGCGAATTAAAATTAATTTCGTTTATTTAACTGATTCATATTTAGATCAATTATCCATTTGAGAAGGGTCCTTTGAGCCCAAGGTTTCGAGGAGAACACGCCCTCAGACGTTATCCAACTGGAGAAGAACGTTGTATTGCCTGCAAACTTTGTGAAGCTGTAAGCTTTACTTTAAATTTGAATTCGAGAGGTTTGGCAAAGATAAGATTTTGCTAAAATGAATTTAGTACAACGCTGACGTGGCAATAAAAATAAGTCATTATAAAGTTCATACATCGGATATGCTCTATAAGGTTCATGTATCATATTCTTTAAAGTGATAAGTGTTCCACCTACTCTACATAAAAAGGACACAAATAATGTACTTTATGTCTCCCCACTTCACCATTGTTAATTTTGTCCTAATTGTTTTAATTATTGGTGTTTTAGATATGTCCAGCTCAAGCTATTACTATTGAAGCTGAGGAGAGAGAAGATGGGAGCCGTAGAACAACAAGGTGAAACCACACACTCTCTCTCTCTCTCTCTCTCTCTCTCTCTCTCTCTCTCTCTCTTATTGAGTGAATTATATTGTAGGTATGATATTGACATGACAAAGTGTATCTACTGTGGATTTTGCCAAGAAGCATGCCCTGTTGATGCCATTGTTGAAGGACCCAATTTTGAGTTTGCCACTGAGACTCATGAGGTTTGTGTAAATTAATCCGAAAATAATATATATATTTTTAAAATTGAAGATAAAAGTACTTTGTGATAAGTATACCTAATTGTATCTGTGAAAATTGGTTTGTATTTTGATGACATTGATGTAATTGGGTTTGACTTTTCAAAGTGCAATGCTGTAGTAGGTAGAAATGAAAGTAGGATGTTATAGTAAACAAATGAATAAAATTATGATGCTGTATAATATCTTTTTAATGCTGTATGCTTTTTTTTAATTATTACAGGAGCTGCTATATGATAAGGAGAAATTGCTTGAAAATGGGGATAGATGGGAAACAGAGATTGCTGAGAATCTTCGGTCTGAGAGCTTATATCGATGAACAGTGTTTTTCCGATATAATCTTTTGGGAATAAAGGAACCCACACTATCAATAATTTGTTTTGGTCAAAAATACCCTTGAAAATTGTAGAATGTTCAACAAAATAGATGATGTCAAATTCACAAATAAAGACTTTTGTGGCAACTCCATGTATTTTTATTTGAGTAGAAGTGTATGCTTATATGCAATTTATTTAACGAGTTATCTTTTATTTAATTAGAATTTTATTTTTTAATTAACATTCTTTTCTTTATTTATTAATTTTATTTTATTTAGTTTTCTATTTGTTAATTACAATTTACAAACAATATGTTTGAATGATTCACTCCATTTCTTTGAGCTAACCAAACATGAAAACATATTAGACAAAACTACAAAATTGGTCCTTGTGGTTTGCGAAAAACTTTGAATAGGATCTAAAAAGTTTTCAAGATGCATGTAAGGTCCAAAATCAAAAACTTCCTGTGATTTTGGTCTAAAAAATTTTGAAAAAACTATTATACCCTTTAATTTTCTTTTTTGTATATTTTATAATTATTCTAACACTATTTTACTTTAAAAATAAAAAGAAAAGAAAAGAATTATCCCCTCACTCCCCTCCCACCCTGCCCCCACCCCCACCCTTCTTTTTCTCTCTCTCTCTCTCTCTCTCTCTCTCTCTCACACACACACACACACAGACAACAAGTTCGATTTCCTGAAAACCTATAACGAAAATTTGAAGTTTCAATCAGTTCGCAAACATAGTTTCCGTTAGATTCACTTAAAATTTGGTGCAAGTTCAAGGCTCCACCTCTTCGTATTCAACTGCTATCGGAGGAGTAATATAATAACCTAATGAGTTCTCAAAATAAAAAAACCCAAATCAAAGAGGGAGGGGGAGAGTGTTTCGTGGCTTCTACCTGCGAGAATGAATGATCCAAAAAAAAAAAAAACAGTAATTGATTTATCCCAATCTTCTTTCCAAACAAATTATACACATAAGGAGACCCCTAAAAAAACTTGGTTCTTCAATTTTTTTTTGCTCACCTTTAAGAACAAACGACCATGGACGGGAATTGAAGCTTACATTCAGAAATTCAAAATATATACTGAAATTCTAAAACACTTGAACCCGTCTGTCATTCTCTATGTTAGATCTGATGATGATTTGGAGGCTTAGTGTTTGAAATGTACAAATCTAAGCTCATCCCCTACAAGATAAGAATCACCATATCTACCCTTATTCTTTAGCATCTTCACCTGAAGCTCGAGATAAAAAAAAACCCGGTTCAATGATTTACACCCATAATCCCTTGTTCTTCACAACTTTGTTACACCTATCAAAACATACGATCGATTCAGAGTGAGAAGAAAAGAAACTGACCTAATTCTTTCAGCATAACGATCTTCACACACACACACACACCTAGAGGAACGATTGCTTGAGTAATCGTTTTACTGAAGTGTAGTTATGTATCGTGAGTAATTGTTTGATTTTCTAGAAGAAGTAAGAAGATAATGATGATGACGATGATGAGAGAGAGAGAGAGAGGTGATGGGGTTGGTGGGGGTTTACATTATTTTTAATATTAATAAAATAAGAAATAAATTAAAAGAAATGTAAAAAAGAAAATAAAAGGGCATAATAGTCTTTTTAAAATTTTTTGGACCAAAATCATAGGAATTTTTTGATTTTGGACCTTCCATGCAGGTTGAAAACTTTTTGGATCCTATCCAAAGTTTTTCACAAACTACAAGGACCAAATTTGTAGTTTTGTCAGCATATTATAATGGTTTATTCCATTGTCTTGTTCATTTTATTAAACTGTTCATTTGATTTTTAATGATTTGAGTTGCTCTGTGTTTTTTATTAGTGTTTCCATTAACATAATCAAGAAAAATATCAAATCATAATTTGAATATGAGATTTAGAGGGTGTTTGTTTGTTGAGTAACGTTTCGGTTGAATCAATGTTTGATTAAGTCAGATGTAGACCTTATTATGAGACCTGATAAGAGGCATATCAAAAGCTATAGGACCGAAATAGATATTTCTAACGGTGATATCAAACAATTTCTTATCAAGCCCACTAATAGGTATACAAACATCTCATAATGCATCAATAGCATTTAGCAATTCTTTACTCGACAATAAAAGAGACATTCAAACAAATCTTATTTGAAATGTGAGGATACAAAAAGCATTGTGTGATTGATTTTAGGAGGTTGTGGGAAGATACAAAGGACAAGATAGTCTTTTAGCATATGATCCCCCCATATATATATATATATATATATATATATATATATATATATATATATATATATATATATATATATATATATATATATATATATTGGTTATGTGATCTCAACCCTTGGCTTGTGTATTGGAGTTAAAGGGTAACATGGAAAAAGTGATGTTTTAGACTTCTTTCATGGATTATGGTTTTTAGTTCGACATCTGTTAAGCTAAAATTTACTAGACAAAAGTGTTGGCCCGTACATACATTTCTATGGATATAAAGATAGCAGAAAATGGAGTTAAAACGAAGAAGTTCTGGCTGCTTGAAGTTGAGGTGGATTTTGGTGAAAACAGTTGCCACGACACGACAATTGCTACAGCACGGCGAAGCGTGGACACGACATCGCGATCAGTTAGGACCAAGCATATGATTTTTAGGATTTTCAACGTATTTAAGTATAAGGTTTCGATGTTTTGACCATTTTATCAGCCTCTATCACCTCTAGAACCCTTTGGGAGAAACCCTAGCCTCCACCTTCAAGATTTGAGCTTCTCCCCTCTCATCTCTCCTATTTTAGATGCTTTTTATGATATTTTGATGAAGTTTAAAGATCAATAAGGTTCTTTTGATCGCAAGGAATGATGCTTCACGCTTGGATCCATCAAAGACACTACAGTTCTTGACTATTGTAGGTATAAAGTTCCTATCTCTTGCTATCTAGTTCTTTAGATCTTGTCATTCGGGGGGGGGGGGGTGTTTGGCATTTTTGGTCTATTTTATGGGTGATCTTAGAGTTGTATGGACTCGAACATCTTTTGATCAGTTTAGAATGCTTCTTGGACCTCATGGACTAGGAAAGTTATGATCTTTTTTTCTTCCCCTTTAGCCATGCAAGTTATCTTTGTCCTTTAGGTCATTTTGGTGCATTAAAGTTTAGATCTTGAATGTTTGTGGCATTGTTATGGATAAATTTGGAAAATCTATCCATCTAAACATCATGTTGATTCAGATATGAAGGTTGGAGACTTGGACTCAATGGATTAGTAGAGAAAGATGCATTTTTGGGTCCCTTTAAGACTTAAAGTCTAGGTCTTGGTAGTTTGGACCTTCCTAATGGATAAAGTTGGAAAATTTATCCATTATAAGGCTATTAGGATTTAGATATGATGATTTTATCTTTGGTCCTTATGGTTTAAGCTCTTATTGAAAAAACGCTTTTTAGACTAAAGACCACGATGTGACCTTAAGTTGCCACATCGTGGTGACTGAGGATTTATCGTCTAGTTTGCTGTTTGTGGGCCACGATGTGGTCATGGATGGCTATGACGTGGAAATTGACTGAAGTTAACCTTGACCGTCGAATTTTGGCCGTCGACTTTTTATCCAATTTGACTTTTGGTCAAACTTGGGTAGAATTGAGTATTTGAACAAGGATTGGTTTTGGTTTGGCTTTAGGAAGCTTGGGTTGGCTGTTCTGTTACTAAGGTAGTTTTTGGGCTTCTGTTGAGTAGCTTAAATGAGTCTCTTCAATGTACTTGTCGATCGAAGACACCAATGTCAACCTACTAAATTATATTTGTAGGATAATAGCTGTCTTTGTGACACTTGCTAATATACATGTATGTGCTTGTTGTCTTTGTGACCCATGCTGATATGCCTATATGATTTATGTATGTAGGGTGAAATAAACATGTTTGGTTGCAAAGTACTGATTGAGTTGTAATAGACTCGGGGGTGAAATAGACTCGTTCATTTGAAAAACACTGATTAAGTTAAAATAGACTCCAGGGGTGAAATAGACTCACTTGACTGAAAAACACCGATTGAGTTGAAATAGACTCATTATAGCTTCGAGCTAATATGCATGTACGATATGTGTTATTTTGGGGAGCTCACTAAGATTTGTGCTTACGGTTTATGTTTAAAATGTATTAGGTACTTCTGGTTTCAAAAGGAAGGGCCTGACCTGATCGCACGACATCCACTGGAGATTTATTCCTCTTTGATTGTTTATGATTTTACTCTGATGTGTTGAGAATACTTTTATTTTGATCATCTTTTGGGATAATGAATGAATCGTTTTGACTTATTTAAAATGAAACTTTGACTCGATAATTTTGGGACGTTACAAGTTGATATCAAAGCCTTGGTTTGAGAGAATTGGGCACAATATCGGGTGCACCTGAACTCAAACTGAGGAGTTAATAAACTATTTTAAAAGAAAATGAGTTTTCCAAAAAAGGCTTTTAAGAAAAAGGGGTGCTATATGTGCAATGAGCCAAGCTCAAGCAATTATTTTCTAAAATACCCATACATGTGTTATGCTTATTGTTTTATTATGAGTATATGAGAATTGCATGCTAGTTTAGGGCTAAGAACCTACTCAGGATATGCATGATAGAATGCTAGGAGAGATGCCTTTATATACCTGTTGGTTGTGCTTTTGGAACTGCATGCTAATATTGACTTCATATGTTAGATATAATGGCTTGATTAGGCGAGGCACTGGTTTAGATTACTCGATGCTTGAATGTTTCTTGCTTTGTGCTTTTAGAGACCTCCAATAATATCACCTAGCTATTAAGTGGATACATTAGGTTACATGTTGTAGGGATTACATAATTTTAGAAGGTTAGGTTTAACTCTATTACACAACTCTTGTTTGAGTCCAACCGTTGTAGTGTGAGACCTTACAGTTAAAGAATTATCTAGTGCATGTGGTATATACTTGAATTGATAGTAGCACAGTCTTTTTGGGTTGCCCTCAAAACTAGCAACTAGACAGTATGACTTTTGGAGAGAGGTTGAATTCATTATTTGAATAATAAATTGAGATAATTGATCTATTAGTGTATTATGAAAATAATATATTAATTAAAAATCATATTATTTAATTAATAGTTAATTATAAATTAATTGAGATTAATTAAATTAATTAAAAGTGTAGGGGCTGTTTGGAAATTTATTGATAGTTTAGGAAAAGGCTCTAGAACCCCCCTAAAAAGGGT